AGCTTGCCAACATGCTAATAATTCACTCATTGTGTGGCTAATAGATGATATATACTACCAAGTTGTGATCATGTAATTAACCCCTTCCCGATGGATGACACCGATAGGCGTGAAAACAAACTGCTCAGACATTATAATCACTATAATGTTATTGACATTAGTAGTGGCAATATAATATAACAAAATATTTTCAGAAACCAAGGAAAAGGGTAAACATGTGAGACAAGTGATACTCATAATTGGCTCACTGGTGACTTAATACAAGTGGAGCCCTCTAGGTGTAAAAACAATGACTAAAGTAAACTCAAAGTGGGCATGGCATGTACATACGGTACATCCCATGCCTGTTGGTTCTGGGTTAATTGGGAGTCTGCCAACAGTTTTTAATTACCAAGAAGGTAGGCACTGACTACTTACAATTGTATTATAGTAATTTAAATTTTTATTGTTATTACCATTCTGAATTCTGAAAGCCTGATCATTGTTATTAATAGCAGATTTTTTTTTTTTTTATATATATAACTTTCTTAATTTTTTTCATGTATAAGATTTTTTCTTACTTTACTTCCTTTGTCATCAGCCAAATGTCAAAACCAAAGGTGAAGAATGACTCACTCCTCATTAAATTCACCATATTTACCATTAACAATGTCCACTCTGCTTTCTTCCATGATTTATACTATCATCCAATATGAAGTGACATGAGTGATAACATAATCACAGTTATTTGTTTGCATGGATGGCAAGCTCAGTGTTGGAACTCTTCTTGACAAATTCAGCAAGGTAAAGCAAGCCTTACTAAACCATAGCTTGCTTGTACTTCTCGTCGAAAATATGTCAGTGCAAAGCTAATTTTAGTGTCTAGAAAGCAGAAATATATTTCTCACATATGCTCTAGTTCTCATTAGCAGCATACACAAACTTCTGCAATTCATGCTCTTATCTTATTTTCATCTGATTTCACATTACTGTTTCTTATATTTTTTGTATACTAGTTTCTAATATCCTTGCAGACATATGTGTATCGATGACAAAAGAATGAAATGCAATTAGTGATGCATCCATAAAAAGGAGTTTGTAATGAAAGCATGAAATGACAAATAACAGATAACAGAAATCCCCTGTATATATATTTTCACACTCACTCTAACTCATTCACTCATTTTCTCTCTCTCTATCTCTCTATCTCTCTCTTTTTCACACACACACACACACACACACACACACACACACACACACACACACACACACACACACACACACACACACACACACACACACACACACACACACAAAAAAAAAAAAAAAAACAGAAAACATCCACACTGGCACCTGAAACCAAGTACAGGCAGTCCTTTGTTTAGAGTTGAGTTCTGTTCCCATATTCTGTACTGTAAAATGAAGCAACACAAAACGAGAAAACATAAAAATAACTGACCTGACTTCATAACTCAAAATATAAAAAAATAATAGACTTTGGTAACTTAAAATCCCTTTACATAATAGCTGCAAATTATTACACATATTAACCCATTGCCGTCGGGGAAAATGAACAAAAAATGGGGAAAATACTATGTCTATTTTCTATACTTTTTTGTTAAATGTCTGCCCATTGATGGCTCTGTTAGTGCCTGATTTGAAATGTCAGGAAAAACGTATTTTTCACTAGTGCCATGAATATCGATGGTGTTATTTTTATTATAAACATTACAATTTTAATAATGTTTTTTAACATAAGTTAAAAAAAAATACGATAATGTGAAATATTTTGTAAATCAAAGAAAAGGGTGAACAGGCGAGACAGGCGGTACTCGTAACTGGCTCATTGGTGATTTAGTACAATTGTAGCCATCTATGTGTAAAAACAATCCAACAAGTAATCTCAAATTGGGCATGGCATGGCATGCCCGTCGGCAATGGGTTAATACAAGACAGATAAACCAAGTACGCTTGAAAGTTAGAGAAGAGCTTTGTGAGTGACAGTGGATGGTTGGCCATTCATGGAAACATTGAGCTACAGGGGCCCAGGGAATAGATCCCTTCAAGGTCTATTTAAGTACTAATATACATCTTGGACCCCTTGTCCCTTGTTTGCTTCTTCTCCTTGTTTAGTTCTTTACAATAGCAAAACATTCCCTGACCTTGTGTAACTTTTGAACTTCTTTCCCTGTTCAGGTTAGTATCATCAGTGATGTCAAGTGCGACATCAACATTGTGGAAAAGCTCTGAGCTGCTTTATAGTCTGCTCCTTATGTTGCACTTTTGCACTTCCTTCATCTTTGTAAAGCACTTTCACCTTGTGGTGTATTGCATCAGGCTCATTACAACATTGCAATAGTTTTGATCTATAACATATTTTCCAAGCAAGTGAGATACTCTTTTCTCTTTTCTTGCTGTGATTATCATTACCTGATGTCCTAACAGGAGCCATTTTCGAAGTTGATATCTCATAAGAGGAGCAAAACTGTCAAATCAAGGACAGGTAAGATCCCCTAGAATAAGCAAAACATGGAAGTAGACAGATTCTGAGAACTGCTCACCAAAGCTTCAAGTCTTAGCTTGAAAATTCCATTATCTTAACCATCTGTGCCCCACACACAAAAAGAGAGCCATGAAGAAAACCACATTCAAGCAAAATATTACAAACATAGGTACCATAAAACAAGAATTACCTGTATATGAAACAGCAACTATGGTTGCTCTTGGTGAAAAAACTGTTATATCAACTGACCACCTGCTTCTGACCTAACCTTCAACATGGGCAGTAAAAATATAAATGAATGACATATGTTAAAACTTTGCATATAATGCACTATTTAAAAGACAGATCACTTTATTAACCTAAGTAGGAGTGTTGTAATATAAACTGAATAAAAGTCACAAAACTATATTGTAAAATTCCTTTCTGGTTATATTTTAGAATTCCTTTTAACCCACTGCCGCCGGGGATGGCACGTACGTACATGCCATGCCCACTGTGAGTGGCCTTGTTCGATTGTTTTTACACATAGATGGCTACACTTGTACTAAGTCACCAATGAGCCAATTACGAGTACTGCCTGTCTCGCCCGTTTTCATCGATTTACGAAAATATTTAAAGTTATCCTAATTTGTTGTTAAAAATAACAACATCTATATTTATATCACTAGTAAGAATACGTTTTTCCCCGCCAATTCAAGGAAAGGTGAAATCAGGACTAGCAGAGCCATCTATGGACAGAGATATTTCACAAAAATATAAAAAATGAGTACTGCATTTCCCCCATTTTTTTACATTTTTTCCCGGTGGCAATGGGTTAATTGTACTCACAAACAGAAGATATACATAAAGAACAGGAAAAAAGTTTTTTTTCTCGCAAAGTGAACTTCTAAATAGTCAAAAAGCTTGATAAGCAAGATAAGTGAGTAAAAACCAACAATTAGCTAATATTTACTGCATTTATCTCTTATTTTTCCATCTGTGAAGTCATTTGAACCTGTTCACGTCTAAGTTCATCCAGATATGTAAACCATTATTCTGGCCACTATAACATTCTGTGTCTAGATTATAACCAGCATTGCTTAACTTGATTTAAAGATGATAATGCTTACTAGCTTGAAATTATTTTTCTAACTGACAGACACTAATATCACTTTAGTTGAAAATGCAAGGCAAGGGGAGAGCATTACACTGATAAAAGCATATTAACTATACACAACTACAATTATGTTCTGGTACGAGGAAACAAGATTTGCATAATTCATACTTTGTGTTAAGAGCATTAAGTAAAAAATATATAAAGAAATAAAATACAGGAAAATGGAAGTACACATTGGGATACTGAAAAAATGTAATGAGTTTGCTTTGTGACACCAGTACTTGTGATCATCTTCAGGCCCACAAGTTGCCTGTGGCCTAAATAATAATTTGTCTGTGGCTTATGAGCACTCACATTAATATATTGATTTATTCTATAAATTTCCCTTACTGTAAATTGTGACTTGCATTATTTTTTGCAAAAATTTCAGTTTTTTATAATTAATCCATTGTGGTAAATGACCATGAAAAAAATTTGGCTGAAGGCTGGATGATGGGACTATGTCTTCATGGAAAAATTTGAGAGAAGCCATCATGAAAAATTTGGCTGTAGGCCAGGGTGAGTAGCCAGGACTGAACAAAGCACTTGGAGGGTGATTAGCCTTAGTGGGCATTTAAGAAGGGGCTCATACGTAATTCCCACCAGTAAACTAGTGTGGAATGTACCATCCATAAACCATGGTTGGAAAAGCACTGGCTCCAGGGAGAATACTACTTCCATGCTTAGGATTCTATTACTGCCTGCTACGACCAGCAGCGGAGGATATATTACAGAAAATTTAACAGAATATGAAAAAATGATACAAATAAATAGCCACTAATCGTTATTGTTATTACACAAAGCTGCAGATGATTTAGAGTCTGTGAAGGAAAAGTCTATTACTATTTTAATACATCATATCAAATGACATATAACCTTGGAAAATAGCAAAAAATGCCTATGCCAAAAAAGAGATAATAACAAATGAGAGGCAAGGAGTCTTGACACCGCAAATGAGTGTTTGTGTGGGACAGGCCGGCAAGCCACACAACCATAAGAGTCCCCACTCAAGTAAGTCTAAAGATTTTAGGCCACATGCATACAGCAAGGGACCAGATCCAACAGGTTAATTCTTTTTGGTTTCTCTATGTGCAGACCCTGCCTAGAACCTTTGTATCACTAAAAAATCATGAGGTATTATTTTTCATTTCTCTATGAATTTAATCGAAAGATGAGGAAGCAATTATCAATTCTGTGCTTAAGTGTCCTTGAAAGGAAAGAAACTTGTCTGTTAAATATCAACATCAAATTCATAACAAGTATCAGAAATTACATGAAACATTTCTAATAATATGCAAGGGCATTAATATTTTGTTGACTTATCTTCCAAAAATCTGGAAAAAATAAAAAATCTATACATCTAAAATAATTCAAAGGTCTCAC